GAATTCAATAGAATTCTCCTATAATCAAAGATGTATCTAGATCTTAACCAACTGCACAAGAATATGTATAAGATTTTAGTAGGAAATACACAAGCTGTAAAAATGAAAGGGAAGCCGCTTGAACAAAATTCTGGTTGCCAGGAACCCTTCAGATAAACAACCTAGACTATGAGCCTAAAATAAAAACCAGTAAGATACTTCGTATAGATAAGTGAGAAATGTGTTCTTGTACTGAAAAGATCTTAGAGCGCGAAACAGCATAGATAAAATAAAAGCAATTGTTATCTTTCGGTAGCCATAAATTGAATTCCTTGGCGGATATACGATACACAACTCGTATGTGCTCGGCCTTTTATTGCCAGGTCTATATGGGGTAGTCCGATATTCAACAAGATGTTGCCCACATGCTGAGAACAGGGCGAGGCACATAATTAAATAAAAGCTAGCTCCAATAAAAACTCAATTTGAGCGTTGGAAAACAAACAAAATTGCTTCAACCTATTTCGACAAGCGTAGTGGCTGACTTTTCAATTTTTATATATAATTAGTTTAATTCTGCAAAGTATATACCCATTGGGTATTTAACACATTTTGCGACAGATAAATATATATATATATATATGTGTATTTAATGCCGTTTGCAAGGCTAATAGAAAAAAAGCTTGTGAGATTCCCAGGCAGATAAGCAACAGATGTTTAGTGAAGTCTGAAGTCTGATAAAGAGTCAAGTTTTAGTTTGTATTTTTGGCGTGCACAAAAAAAAACAAAAGTCCGACGAGATTTAATAAAGATAAAAGCAAGCGTAGACAAACTGTTGCGAATGTTAAAATGTGTGTTAGGGCACAGTTCTAAAATGGTTCAAGGCTTGTCTAATTAACGTTATCTTCATCATCATTATCATCATCGATGACGAATCTAAGGCATATCGTTAAGTGTTATTAGCACAATGACATTAGCTGAATGCGACAGTTGAAGCTCGAGCTTTAGCTTAACTTAACTGAAGCACTTAATCAAAAGCTTCAAGAGCGACAATTCCAGCTCGAACTTAAACTTTAAGCCTTCCACATTACACTCGAACAAAAGCACTTAATCAAAAGCTTCGAGTTTTTCAAATGCTTTTGAGCTTAAAGCGACATTTCTAACTCAAGCTTAAGCTTTAAGCCTTCCATATTAGACTCGCACAAAATCAATTAATCACAAGCTTCAAAGCTTTCAATGTGCTTTTGCAAGAGCCACAACTCTGAAACGAGACAAAAACGAAACATATTGTTTTGACTGCCGCCTGACAGCACTTAAAATATTTATGATTTCTGTGCAAAAGCAGAAAATAAAATTTATGATTCTCAATAATTCGCTTGGCATACATTTTGAGGTATTCATTCGTATTCTTGAAAACGTGTAAAACTGTCAACGGGGGCTTATGGAAATGTGTTTTGTTAGCGGATTTGAATTACAAGCGGCAAACGAGAGGGATTTCAATTTATATATAAATATATTTTATATATATGCACATACAGTGAAAGCTCCTCATGAGCGAACATTTACATTGAAATTTACATTATTATCTTCCCTATGAGCTTTAATCATAAACAGAAGCTGACTTCCCTGTTTTGCAAGACTTTAAATAAGTCTTGCTGAGTTCTAGACATACTTTTTGTATGTACGACAAAAGTTTCTTTCTACAAAAAGTTGAGCATCCATTGGGAAAGAAAACTATCTTAGAGTAAGACCACAAATTTCGGCCAGCTATAAGAGAAGTTCGTCCATTAAGGCACCCTTCACTGTACTTTGGATAGATACATATATAAAATGCATTGTCTGGTTGCCTGCCTCAACTGTTCGCTAAGCTTATCAACCATTGTCATTGGCTTAGGGACGTGTTGCGGCTAAAGGGATGGTGTGGGGAGAGCGGGGGAGAACGCATCATCGAAAAAGCACAGGGTATATATTACATGCGGGCAGCACGTAGCCCAGTCAGCGTGGCGAATTGCAAGCCGAAACCAGACGAACGCTGCGAAAAGGCAAAAAGCGTTTTATTTCTATTATTATCGGTCAAACGGAAAGCGGTAACAGAGGACGGGAGCAGCGGATGGGAGCAGCGGACGGGAGCAGCGGATGGGAGCTCAAGAAAGCAGCCAAATGGCCGAGAGTCGAGCGAGCACCGCGTGTAAAATGAGCCAGAACCCAGAGCATTTAAATTCCTTGGTTGGCGAAATTGCATTGGACAATATATAATGTATATATAATAGATATATATATATATATATATATATATATATATATATATATATATATATATGCAGCCGTTGAGCATGAAACGAACGAGTGGCTGACTGACTGGCCAAAGCCCCCCCGGCCCGCTGCGCAACTCTAGCTGCGCTGCAGTGCAACCGTCCGGCTGTCTGTTGCGCTGACGCGTCGCTAATCAGTTTGGCACTCCAAAAGAAGCATATGTATATATAGATATAGATATATTATATTAATAATGAATGACGTCAGCTGACGTCGGCTGACTCTTTAGACACTTACTCAATGTGCTTGTCCTTGCGTAACTGCAATTCCTGTAGCTCCGGCTTGCTGGCATTGATCTGACGCTCCAGCAGCTGTTCCTCCTCTTTGCGCGCCTTAATATCCTGATTGAGTCGCTCCATTTTGGCGTGCATCACCTTCAGGTGCTCTTTCATGTGCAGCAAATTCTCATGCATATGCTGTTGCACATCCTGGCGCGAACATGCCCCGCTGCCGCCCGTTGCAGCCGCTGGACTGGAGCCGCCGCTGCCGCCGCTTGCGTTCACCGGCGGCTTAATCATATACGATTCAATTAACGCTATTTGCCGAAAGAACATGTTCTCCGCATTGCCAAAGACACGTTGCTGCAGCTTCCTTTCGGCCAGCTCCTCGCGTATGGCATTGAATGCGGTCTTCTTTTGGTCGAGCGCCTGTTCCTGTTGCAGCAGCAATTGGGAGCAGCGAATGAACTGTTCGCTTAGCACACGCAAATCACCCTGCGGCTGTGCTTCATCGTAGAAGGGGCAGACCATCGGATAACTGAGCGTTATGTCCAGCGTTTTGTTGTACATCTTGAGGGAATTGGTCGTATAATGGTTAATCATGTCCACAACCGAGCTGAATTGAAAGTTTTCGACAAAACCGTAATTGTCATTCATTTGGCAAATTTTGATTAGCTTCTCGTTGCCATCCTTCATCAGGGTCAATGTGTATTCGCCCTTCTGCAAGTCAAATAAATATTCACACAAATATATATACATATATATACACATACACATATATTTCCACTATTATTTTCTATATAATCAATTACCTTTGCCTGGGCATCGCGCACCAGAAAACTGCCGTCCGGTTGGCCAAACAATATGCTTTTGGCCTGCTCGCGGGTTATGCTGCCCCAATACCAGGGGGCAGAGCGTAGCTCATCCTTCTTGGAATCTCGCACCATAGACGCCGGCGCCTGTGGCCTCATCGTTGAGTAGTGCAGCGGTGAGGGATGCACTGCAAATGGGGCGCACGCGAAAAATTGGGGTAGGGCGAAATCATATTTTAGTTGCTGCTGCTTAATACACATATTTACACACACACATGGTTACACACATATGCCTATATATATATATATATATATATATATATATGCAAGCATATGTATACGCATGTGTGTGCGTAGCGGCTTTTGCTTGTTGCCAAGCGCCCCCGAAACGCATTTGAAAAGCGAATACGTTAGGCATTAGCCCTTTTGGATGTTGTATACTCACTTTTGAATTTGCGTTTGATTCCCACTATAAATTGGAATTTTTGTTGCCACTTTTTGCCAAAAAAAAAATTGTGTGTGTTTTTTTTTTATTTTTGGTATATTTATATATGACTTATTTCACGCTTACAATTTAGCGAGCACCATCTTTCTATTCTCAAATTCGCGAATCGACTGAGAAACTCGCAGGCAAACACACACACTTGTACACACACACACGCACACACACACATACACACACGCGGGCGCACACAATCGAATTCACACATGCACACAAGCATACATATAAACTATAGTTAAAACAATTAACAGCGTGCAGGAATCGGTAGTTAAAAAGGCCTTTTATTTACTTCTTGTTCGTTGCAATTAAATCGTTTTAAACGCGTTCGTTTATTTGTAGTTTCTTATTATTTATAATCAAATCACAATCAGCACACCATTTCTTTTCTTTTTTTTTTGTGGAAGAAATTGTCCTCAACACTGCATTGGCACTGGCACTGAATAGCATGTTGCGGCCATTTTTCGCTTTTCAACACTTTTGGAGAAACGTACTAAAAAATGCCGCACAAATCGCAAAATGAGTGACCACGTTTTATGCTTTGGTATTTCCCAGCCATATTTCGACTTTTTAACGGTCTAACCGAATAATTTCGAACCTCTTTTAATGGAATAACGAAGTTAAAGAATCCAAGGAATAGTAGAGCGAAAAAAAAAATGTAAAGATCTAAATTAGCTTGCAGAAGCTCTATATATAGTTCTCCAAGCCAGACCGTTCTTAATCGATCCGTATAAAACAATTTGCAACACATTCTTACCCAAATTGAACAACTAAGTGGCTAGTACAATAACTAGTTCGGGCATTCCCGTATTGTGTAACGCCTGTAATCAACATATTTGCCCTAAATAAAAAATATGTTTGTTTTTAGTTTGAAAAAATTGTTATTTACTTTGGAACGTACCGTTTGTCTTTATGTACTCTAATATAAGTTATAATGTTGTGTAAAAGCTTCTTGAAATAAATAGTATGATTGAATCTCGAGTGTTTTACGAAAGCTTTTGACAAATTAATGAATTGAATAAGCAAATATTATAATATACAATTACCATTCTTTGACTTGTATTTATTTTACATTCAAAAAAACTTATACTTTTAGAGCTAAGCTACAGCATATTTTGTAGTATGAAATTAAAAACCAGGGCATCCCAGCGGCGTCTGCGTAAATAAACTAAGCAAACATTGCAAAACAAATAGTATTTGTATTTAGTTGGTTTTCAATCATTCATATTTTCTTTACTGAATTTATAGTCATGTCAGCGTTGCGGTATTATCCAAGATAGTTTCTCATTTAGAAATATTAAGGTTCAACATGGTATTTAGTTTTGTGGCAGCGCACCGCGACATAGAAGTGCGTTCATTGTATATGCATATTGGTTGTATTATGTGTGTCTCCTGAATGTTAGCGATTTGTTTGGTTGTTGTTGTTTTCCAATTTCTTGTTTTCTAGGGTTTCGCTAATTCTAATGTATCTGTATAATGCCCGATTCCAGCAGCTTCATTATCTTGTCGGCAATGGCTGGATTTTGTAAATGTCTTGAAAATAGAGTATAGAAGATTAGAAGTTAATATAAATCATTTGAATGTTCGGTGCTTATATAACTTACTCCTTGACCGCATTTGGATCGTTTTGCATCTGTTCGAGTATCATGCGCATGGCCGGATCCTTGAGAATTTGCTGTATTTCCGGATCGGACATGGCGTTCTTGAGCACTTCTTGTGGATTACGTTGAAAGTTCATTGAACATTGACGATATCCGTCAATAGCTTCGGCATTATTGGGATCCAATTCAAGCGCCTTCTGGTATGCCGAGGAAGCCTTTGAGGTTTGTTGCATGCCCTATAATAATTGACAAAGATTACCATCAGCTGTCGTAAAAACTCGCCCTGAATGTACTTGCCTGGAGAATCTTTCCCTTTCGTATATAACCTTTGATGAATTTCTCGTCCAGCTTAATGCAAGTATCACAATCCTTCAGACCCAAATCAAAAGCGGCCAACTTTGTGTAACAGGCAGCCCGATTGCTGTACAATTTGGGATCATCGGGATTACGTTTAATGGCCTCCGTATAGTGTTTAACGGCATTGCTGTAGTCGCCCTTTTTGAAGTACTCATTGCCTTTTTCCTTTTCCTCCTCGGCCTTAACTGGATCAATGTAGGCGCGTCGCTCCTCCTCCTTAATTTTTGCCTCAACCTCGCTCAGCGAGGTCTTTATCTCCGGTGTGCGATGCTCAGACATGGCCTTCTCATAGTAGAATTTCGCCTGCTTATAGTTCTCCAGCTTGCGATAGGTGTTTCCAATGCGAGCCAAGGATTTAGCAATTAGCTTAAAATCAGCACGATTCTCACGGCCCACCTCGATGCCCTTCTCGCACTGTTTAATGCACTCATCGTACTCCTTGCGCTCAAAGTAAACGGCCGCAATATTATTATGAAACGTGATATCAGTCGGATCGTGCTCGATGGCAGCATTATAATGCTTAAGGGCAGTTTCAAAATCTTTCTTCTTATAGGCCGCGTTGCCCAGTTCCTTTTCCTTCTTGGCAAAGTACTTTTTGCGCTCCTCCTCGCTCATATCCTCCACCCGCGGCTCAGCCGGTTTTGGGGGCTCCGAGCTCTTGGACGGCGGCGCTTTTCTCTCAAAACTAGGGCTGCTCGACTGCGGATCAACGTCCATGGGTATGTCGCCCTGCGATTGCATCATGTTCAGCACCGATGCAGTTATCTCCTGACAGCCCTGCAATAGGATCGCATTTTGCGGATCGTGCTTCAAGCCTGGAGACCGGACACACACACACACACACACACACACACACACACACGCACATTATTAGTGAGGTTATGTTGTTGCGGGAGGGGTAGTAGAAGTAGTAATTATTTAAAACAACTTACCCTCATTATAGGCTTCGAGAGCCTTCATATAGTCACGCAGCCCAGCGGCCGCAACACCCTTGCGCGAATAGCCCTTCGGCCAGGTGGGATTCAGAGAGATGGTTTTCTCAGCATCTTCGAGGGCCTCCCTAAACTTGCCGGCCTTGGCAAAGGCCGCCGACCGATTACTGAATAGCACATGATTTTTGGCGTCCAGCGCAATGGCTTCTGTATATGCAGCAATCGCTTCATCGAATTTCTCGGCATTGAGCGCCGTGTTGCCCTTTTCCTTTAGTTCGTTCACCTGCAATGACGATAGTGAAAATGTACTCAGATGAGATTGCTTTGTTCCGACCATTTTGATATTTGCCAACTAGTGTGCTACCAACCTTGTCCATTTTAAGCGATTTTGAACCTCGGCTTTACTGATTAAAGTCTTAGATGTTGCTATAAACACGTCGTTACCACGCAAAGTTGTGAGCTGAAATTGCAAAAATGCCGCTGTCGGACTTTTCTAGAAATGCATGAGTCGTGCCTCGCTCAGTTCTCGTGCTCTCGCACTTGCTCTCGCACAGAAATGTCAGAAACGTGGCGTTGCCAACACGGTCTGCAATTAAAATCGGGTTGCCAGACTGTTGGTAGTACAAAATTATAATAGAAATTAATGAAAGTATGTTGGAAATGCTTGAAATTGTTGCATAACACAAAAAAACTGATCAAATATTTTTAATTAGATTGCGTGTTGATTTTTGTTAAATTTACTATGTATCGGGCAAGCAAGTTGGCAGCGCTGAACAGCTTACTTAAATTTTTTCAAGCTGGCAACGTTGTCGCAAAATACGACAGACGCTGCTTTTTGCGTGCGGCTGGGAAAATTAATATCAAATATTTGTCCAAATATAGAGAAGCAACGTTGAACAATTTCGCTGCAAACGGCACGAAGCGAAGATAATCGTTGTAAACAGCAGCCCATTACAGCAGCAGCGTAATGGCCGAATATTTGGCATCTATTTTCGGCACAGAAAAGGACAAGTAAGTAAAAACCCCCCCAACAAAAAAGGCCGCATGTTCCTTCTGTACTTTTGCGGCATGCAAACATTGTTATTGAAAAACAAAAAAAAAAAAAACAAAAAAAACCAAAACCAAAAACCAATTGCTTTTTGTAGAGTCAACTGCTCGTTTTACTTTAAAATCGGAGCGTGCCGGCATGGCGACCGCTGTTCACGCATACACAACAAGCCGACATTTTCGCAAACGGTGCTGCTGCAGAATCTGTACGTGAATCCGCAGAACTCGGCTAAATCGGCGGATGGCTCACATTTGGTTGCGAACGTTTCGGACGAGGAGATGCAGGAGCATTATGACAATTTCTTTGAGGATGTGTTCGTTGAGTGCGAGGACAAGTACGGAGAAATTGAGGAGATGAACGTGTGCGACAATTTGGGCGACCATCTAGTCGGCAATGTGTACATCAAATTCCGCAATGAGGCCGACGCCGAGAAGGCGGCAAATGATTTGAACAATCGCTGGTTTGGTGGACGACCCGTCTATTCGGAACTGTCGCCGGTCACCGATTTCCGTGAGGCCTGCTGCAGACAGTACGAAATGGGCGAATGCACAAGATCCGGCTTTTGCAATTTTATGCACCTGAAGCCCATATCAAGAGAGTTGCGGAGGTACCTATACTCGCGTCGGCGTCGCAATCGTTCGCGTTCACGTTCCCGTTCCGGTGGACCGCGGCGTCGCTCGCGCAGTCGTTCGCCGCGCCGTCGACGCGAGGAGCGCGGCATCGGCGGCGGCACAGACCGTGGCGGCGAGCGTGGCATTGTCGGTGGCACTGATCGTGGTGGCGAGCGAGGCATTGGTGGCGGCACCGATCGAGGAGATCGCAACGATCGCGATGGCAATGATCGTGATAGACGCAAAGGTGGTGGTGGTGGCGGGGGAGGAGGAGGAGGAGGCGGCGGCGGTCGATATTAATGGTCCAAAATTTGTTTGGACTTCGGACTATCAACTACGTTATTGGTGGCAATGTGAGAAAACGAAACGCCGCAGTATCGTCGTGTATTTCTCAACTCTTCACAGTCGACATTTGTTTTTTTATGATTTAGCGCATGGGGTGTCCACCACACATAATGTACAAACCAGCCGTGACACGATGTGAATTATTTGATCGAGCGCCCATTAGAATTGTAATTACTTATACACACATTCGTAATAATAAAATTGAGTAATAATTATAAAGATATAGCGAAACAGACAACGTCTTGCCATAATTACGGACATTAATGTATATTTGGTTAATTAATTAATTAAGATTTAGGCGCGCCTATAACGGTGTCTGAAGCACAGCTGCCGGCAGAACTGCATCCATAGCAGCTGCTGCTGCTGCTGCGGCTGCTGTTGCCTTTTGGGATTCGTTTGACTCGTCGTCTGGCTCGTCCTCATTCGCTTCCGTCTCCTTGTCCCGCGCCGATTTCAACTGTTTGGTCATGTCGATTTGTTGCTGCAGATTGTATCTGTTCTCGTGTTTGCGTCGCTGCTGCTGCTCCACATCGCGCAGCACGCCCTGATGCAGCTTGTAGCTGCAAAGGCGTCTCGGGTAATGTTTGATTTCATAGTAGAATGCGCCGAAAGGAATACTTACCGGTCGTCCGACTGTTTATAGTGGACATAACCTATAATGGCGCTCGAGACGCAAACCGCCAAGCTCAACGTGACCTTTGCTGCCAACGACATGCTACCGATTTAACTGCCCAATTGCGAATTGTTGAATTTTGTTCAAAATATGGTTGAATGCGAAGTTGGCTAAGTAATTGTTACGACATAGCTTGACTGAAGTTCCACAACAAACGAGCAAGTTGATAGCAAAACAAAAGCCGCTACATTTGTGCGCTCTTTTGTTTGTTTGTTATTTAACTTATCGCTTTTTAAGCTATTTAAGCACTTAGCGCTCAATTTGTGCAACAGCAAAGCATTTTCGCTAACAATTATTAAAATAATTGCCAACTTTACTCAAAATGGCCGATAGACATAACAAAGCGCCAGGGCTGCTGAGCACAACAGCTTATCGATAACAATGTGCGTAAGCGATAACACAACAAGCGCGCCATTCAATCGATTTAAATGCGCTTGTTTGAACAAGCTGCTATCTCTGGGCTAATTTTAGTTTTCATTTTTGCCTGTCGCTGTGTTTGTTTGTCCAGATTACTTGACGCAGTTGCACAGTTGATGTGCCTGATTTTAGCTACCACTCAACTGTTGTGTTTGGCCAAACAAACGTGTTGACCCGCTGCCAGAGCAACGCCTGGCCCGTGACCCAACGCAGCTGGAAATTCTGGACATGCGCATCATGATGCACGCAATGCGAAGCAACAGCACAAGTACAAACAGACAAATGTGTGTGTGTGTGAACGGAAAGTAAAAGCGACAAACAGCCAACGCGGCGTATGAGCAACATTTTTACACACCAATCGTGCCAGTGCGACTCCAGTTTTCCCAGCGCTCAGTTGTGCGCGCCACAAGAGCCACATACGGGGCAAAAGAAATAAAAAGAAATAAAAAAAACAACATACACACAAGTGAACTATATAAAAAGGCAAACATTTAACGTGCGTGCTGGCCAACGTCGTGTGTTTAAAGATTTGTTTAAAATTCTAGACATTTGCAACAATCAACAATTGGCCATAAAATCCATTAGCATATTGAAAATTATAAACATCGAACGCGGGCAAACTTCAATTTGTGAATTTTTAAAAATTTTGAATTTTGCCTTGGCCAGGTTTCCTTTTAATGTTCATTCGGCATCATTTGAATATTTATGTCCGTGTGGCGTAAATATTGATTTCCATTGCGTATTCTTTGCGACCTTTGCCAGGTCTTCAAGTCTTGCGACACCTTTGCTAGCTTTAAAATTCTCTCGCTGGCTAACAAATCAAAGTTCTTGCAGCTTACCCAAGTTCGTAGATCTCAGAGAGAGAGAGAGAGAGAGAGAGAGAGATATACATATCTTTATACAAGATGACCAAAGTGGAGCTATATAAGTCTCGGGTCTTTGTGACAATCATACACCTGTGCGCGCTGGGCCAGTTCGCGTATGGCCTGTACTACGGCAGCTTTGAGGTGCAGCGCAGCTATAAGCTCAAGACGAGCTTCAGTCGGCGCCTGGTGCCCGAGACCTTTGGCCAGAAGCTGCGATTTCTCAGCTATTGGTCGCTGGTAAGTTGACAAGAATTTCCATCATTTTCCATTTTTCTCTTGACCAAAAACAAAAATATCATATATCATGGTCATTATGAATGTGACGGAAATGCGGCGCTCGCAATCGTTTCAAGTGTGTTCCAGATCCCGTGGAGAATAAAAAAGAATTTAAAGTGGCGGACTGATCGACTAGCGAATACCCTGTCTTAAACTGCCGCTTCAGACAAATTAAGATCCTACAAGTCCGTAGCCCTAATTTCTGCTTAGATATGTTGAAAGCAAAGCTCTGCTTAAAATCGTTATTTATCGATTACTTGAATGTGTCAGGAGCTATCGATAACTGCCATAGAATTTATCTGCGCATTTAGCACATGCCTCTCCTTATTTCCCCTTATTTTGTTTTATTGCCTACAGGGTAGATGCACAGTGAGCTTTTTATTATTGTCTCCCATTTATGTCTGCCATATGTTTGTTTATTTGTTGGCTGCGTCGATTTAATTTTTTATCGAGGGGTCAACAAACTGTGCCTTGTGCTGCATCCGTAAATGCCACTCGCTCATCTTGCAGATACATTTTTGAATTCCATTCATTCCATTAACCATTTCATTTGTTGTCGCTGCAAAGTGTTACACACACACACACACACACACACACACGCACACTTGCAGCGGCAGCCGCAAAAATGCCACGTATAATTTGCAGTATTTATTTGGTCTGTGTGAAATTCTTTACGATATTATTCGTAAAGAAAATATACATACACAGCGAAAAACTCTTTTCGCTTTTATTGAATTGTAAAGCTGGCCACAAATCAAATTGGGCCAAAACAAAAGGCGTCCAACAGCTTCGTGCCCGATTTTATTGCCGCTGACGGATGCCAGATTATCTTATTGGCGTGAATGTAAATATCCCATTTGGAGCATGGCCAGTGCGTGGGCGCGGGGGCGTGTGCGGGTGCGGGTGCGGGGGCAACGGCCATGGCCGTCCAACTCATTTACATGTCGTACAATATACTGGGTAATCGATCATCTGCTGGGTTTTTGCAGGTACTTGGCAAGCAAAATGTCCAAATTAATCAAAAGGAATAAATCTTTCAGATACATGAACCTACGTTAAGGAATTAGTAATTGACTTGGATTTGATAATAAATAAATAAAAATATAGTCATGACTGACTGAGGGCCGATTAATGATTGATTAACTGGCCGAAAAATTGATCTAATTTAAAAGTCATATATATTTTGCCTTTAATTACAAATCAAATTGTTTTTTTTTTCGCCTAGAGAACAAACCACGATCAAAATGTTCTCAATAATCGGTATCAGTTCAGTTTTATGAAAGGGATATTTGGGGATATTTACTAGGAAATCAATCGAAAGCACAAACCAAGACCAACATATCCTTTGTTATCAAAATCGTTAAAGTTTTCTAAAGTTTGAAATTTGACAAACGATGTCAAAAATATCCCTTGCCAATCAAATCGTTTTAATTATTGATAATTTATGAAAGTCTTTTGTTCCGTAAAGGCACAAAATACTGATCTAAGGAACAAACCATGTGCAAAGTATCCCTACACAAAAAAGTTGTTAACTTTTGGAAAATTTCGGTTTTGTTTGGGGATGTTTTATGGGGACAGCGAATTGATCCAAGGAACAAACCATTATCAAAATATCCTCAGTTATCTTGCAATTTAGTTGGGGCATTTACTTGCCGTGCAAAAGTGCAAATGTTGCGATGTTTTTACTTTTAATTTGTGCATAAGATAAACATGTGCTTCTTTTGCTTCTTCTTGCTCAGCACTTGAACTCGAGTATGCTTTCAAATAAAAAATAAAAAAATCACAGCAAGGTTTTTTTTTTTTTTTTTTAACTCTTCTTATCTCTAAACATTATTTGCCAGCCTGCGTTTACGTCCAATCTTCGACGACCTTGCGCGCCCTTGATTTATATACCCAATAAATTCTTTGATCTTTGGGAAATATAAGAGATAGTGCCAAACAAATATATGTATGTATATCCAGACTCGAGTTGGGCTTTTTTTTTCGCTTTTGGGTTCCGTTATTTGTTTTCACTTTTCAGCAAATGGCTTTCATGTGGAACTCATGCCGTGACCGGGCCGGGTCATGCACACGCACCATTACCATCCGGTTGTTGTTGTTGTTTTTTTTGCTCGGCATGCCAGAGGCTTCCGTCAAATCCTCAATTGTTTATAACGCCCGAATCGAAATGAAAATAAATCCAAATTTGTTTCATACTTTTTCGCCAAACAATTGCATTCTAAAGCCCTGAGATTGAGTTATTTACATATACACACATATATATATATCGGTTCGGAATATAGCGGGAGGGGGGGGGGGGGGGGGGCAGACACGTTCATCTCCTTCGCTGATTTTGTGCAATTTATTACTCGAAAATTTATTGGAAGCGCGGCGAATCCAACAAATAAACTTGACGCGCCGAACTGTGTCCGAACTAACCGAATTCCCTTTCCAATGGGCTCCGTTTTTTTGCCCTAATGCAAAATAAAACCCCAATTCTCTTATATTGTCTCGTTTTATGGAGACTAAAAACTAGCTGTGGTTATCCGCTTTATAAGGCTTAAAGCTGCTGCCTTCACATTTTCCCAACTTTACATTTAATGTCAGGTTAGTGTTTAGTTGAAATTTCCCTTTTCTTCCAAGATCAAAGAAGTTGGCATTTTTTTCCCCCCTTAGCCAAACAAACATAAATTATAAATTTCCCTATTCCCTAAAGCATTGTATATTTTTATTAAATTTCTAAGAATTCCTTTATATATAAAATGCCTAAAGCTTCTAAGATATAATTCAATTATATACATAATTTATGGCTTTCCTCGCACGATTTTTAGACTTACAAAAATGAAATATTTCTTTTAATATGTTTACCATAAAATTACAGTAGAGCCCAAACAATTAAAAAACCCATTATACCCGAAATTCTAGTTAATTTACCGAACTTGTTGAAATATTTGTACGAAACTGTGTGTCTGTGCTGAATGCCAGATTTAATGTGCAAGGCAGATAATTATGTGTCCGGGTGTGAGGCTAGGGAACGCCCCCAAAATACGGGGAACATCGCTTGGGCATATCGCAGGGCAATTGTCGCATCGGGTTTCAGTTTTCCATTTGGTACATTCCCAGCATGTTGCAGCCGGAGGCAATTATTGTTGTGCTGGTCGCCCTGCTCGCCTTGGAGGCGGAGACGACAACGACCATCAAGTGGCATAGCTCTGGCGCCGCATTCACTGAACCTGCCACGTGGCTGAGCGGCTATGTGCCGCGTGCACGCGATTTGATTGTATTTCCGGATAACTATCCGGCCGTAATGCCATTGCCGGCAAAGGTGTACACGGCGGGCTTTGTGCTGCCGCGCCTGGGCGCCCTCCTGCTGGCCGAGGACGCCAGCATAGAGCTGGCAGCTGGAGCTGGAACTGGAGCTGGACGCGCCTATTTGAAAGCACCAAAGACGAGCAAATGGTTCGATCCAAGCAGCTGGAGCGTGCAGCCCGGCTCCGCCTACGCCTCCGCCTCCGCCTCCGGCTCTATTGTGCCGGAGGTGGAGCGTGTGCCCTGCGACGATGAGCATGTGGTGATTAGCGGCAATGGCGGCGCGCTCTCCTTTGACTTGGAGCACGTGCAATATCTGCGTCTGGGCCAGCTTATACTGGCCGGCTCCTCCATCTCCCGGAGCTATTTGCAGGAGCTGCTCGGCCGGGATCTGGGCCAGCTGCTGTTCCACAATGCCCAGGCCGTGACCGTGGAATACTATCGGGGCGAGCTCTGCGGCTGTCACAAGGATTACGAGCGTCTGGTCGAGCCCGTCTGCCGGAATGTGGAGCCGGAATGTGCACGGCCCCGCTGCGTCTCGCCGCTGCGTCCCTTTGGCGCCTGCTGCTTGGTCTGCGGCGCCATGATGCACATGCCCAGCGAGCACTGCACGGCGGAGGATCGCAAGCGGCTGACCACGTTCATTCGGGCTGCCATCGAGCGGGAGCATTTGGCGGACGAGCTGCAGCTGCACGTGGACTACGTGGGCTCCGCGACATTGGGCAACCATCTGCAGGCCATAATCGTGGATCGCCGGGGTTACAGCGAGCGCAGCGTGGACTTTATGCGTCGTCTCGCCGCCGGACGCAACCAGAGCCAGTGGCTGGCCCGGCAGTCCGGGTTGAAGCTTCTCTATGCGGGTCGTCCGTACAATCCAGACGTGAGCCTCGCCTCTGTTATGCTCATACTCTTCTGTGTGCTGCTCGTGGGCGTTGTCTCCGTGATCATGCTCGCCCACTTTCTGCCGGAGCATCCCTATCTGCGGCGCATTCCCCAGTGGATACACGATCCGCGTCGCCTACGTCTCCATCTCCAGTTGCGTCTGCGTCGCAATCTGCTCTTCAATCGCTTCGATAATGCTGCAGGCGGGGCGGGAGCGGGTGTGGAACATCTGGCTGTCATTGGCTACGATGCGGAAAGCGGCGAGGTGCGCGAACGCGCCTTCAATAATCCCATGTTCGAGCAGGAGCCGGAGCCGGAACAGCAGCTGGAGCAGGAGCCGGGGCAGGCAGCCCGGCCTCAAGCTGTGCCCGAAGCAACTGGCGTGCCCTCCAAGGTGGAGACAGGCGTACTGGACAGCTGCAGCGTGGAGGAGCAGGAGCTGACCGAAATCAATTTGGAGTCCTCCGGGTCGGAAAGTGAAGCCGAGGCCGAAACCAAGGAATGAAACACAAATTCGTATGACAGATTTTATAGCTTTAGCTAGCCTGGAATGGGAAGATCCTCTTTCTATATATATCCCAGGCAATTATACTATTTATTCCCATTTACCATTATCTGCCCGCAAAAAGTGGGGGAAAACAAAAAAACAAAACCCAGTTTATATTTCGAAAATATTTATAAGTTATCTATCAACTATCAGCCTGGAATTTGAACCCAGTTTCTGTTTCTCACGTTATCTTATCGTAAAATAAAAGCCATATCCGAGGTGAAATCTATAAAACTACAATTTATGTGCAACTTTTTATTCTATACGCATAGAATATCATTATATTATAGATATATTAATCCAGAAATAGTATATAAAACTTATATGCCAGTTATTATTATTATATAATTTATCAACCACAAACTTGGGCTTTAAGTTTAAGGTGAAAACTAGGTGGAGACTGGGTGGAAACTAGGCTGAAACTAGTTGGAGACTGGGTGGAGACTGGGAGGAAACAAGGTGGAAACTAGGTGGAAACTAGAAGGATTTTTATTTTATTACTATTTTGGCATTTATCTTCTAGCCTTGGACCTATAAGCTCGCTCTTTATCTTGACCTTATGGGACAGTCGCCTAACAGTTAATTAATATTTTTAAAACGCATAGCGACAAAAATAAACGAATCGATTATGGTTTAGTTTAATAATGGTTAGCGATTATATTTGCTGTAGTGCGTCACATTTCTGGGCTTGGCCCTTGACCTTCTCAGGCGGCTTTCCAAAGCGCTCGAAATTAAATCGATAGTTCGCATTAGTTGCGCACCGTCAACAGATTCAAATCAAAAGCCTTTGTTCAGCCAGGCAATTTCTATACATAGCCAATACATACACCTACCCCCCCCCCCTCCCTCCGCTAAGCAGCGTTAACATAACATGCCTCCAATTGGATTACATCGCTCGAGTGCTTGAACGGCTGTAGAGTTAGGTGAAAGTATTTTGATTTCCACTCAGATTCCGCTGCAGTTTCTTGTTTGCATTTCTGTGTATCAATCTCAATACGAATTTACTTTTGTGCCGCTGATAAGCGACGTTATCAGCATACATATATATATGTACTTGATGCATGTATATAAAATATATACATACTTAGATTGTCGCTCGCCAGCCGGCTAATCAGTATGTTGTAGACTTTTGTGTGTTTAACATGGCAAGATCCAAGTCCAAGAACAAGGGCTCCACGTCGCCTGGCTTTAATCGTGTGGTGCAATTGGTTTTACACATTACGGCTGTCATTCAGTTCAACTATGGCGTCTACTTCTTTCACAATCTGGATATGCCAAGATCAGTATTCCATCCATTTGCTGGCAAATTCAAATTCTTGACATTTATCTGTGCGGTAAGCGAAACAAATACTAGTGCAGCCCTATCTCTTATCGATAACATGTTAATTGCACAGTCACGGCTGCTGTTAATGTGCAGTCTGATAATTTGAAAAAAATGTTAACGTTCCATTTCTGTTAGTGGCCGTTAATGTTAATGTGTTGTAGAATATTATTAACGAGAAGCCGGATACCTTCCCTAGAAGGTCAAACAGTTACAAGATTTTAAATGCGTTGCTGCATTAAACTTCAACTACATACTTTCTGCTTAACATTTGTAAACTATATTGAATGTATATTCAATAAGATAATAGATAAGTTAAAAACTAGTAAATTCTAAATTTAATTTACAATTTATAGTCAATCTTTTACATTTAAATTGTAAATTCGTTTCAAGTCGTGCTGTCATGCCACATTCAGTGTGGCCAAATACACAAAACTTAGGCAAATAATCGATACATAATCCTTGCTGAGTATCGATAACAAACAACTTACGCGCCACGGTCACACATAGAGGCAACTGTCTTCAGTGCAAGTTTTTTGCTGGCCGGCTGTTGTTCGTTGCCGTGAAAAAATCAATTAATTTGTAATAAAACAAAAAAATAAAAAACAAAAATGGCCTCAGCCGCTTCAACACATTCGCTATTTAAAAGTGTTTTTGGCGCCCTGCGTACGCTACTGCATTTGACGGCAGCAGTACAGTTTACGTACGGCATATATTATGATTATAAATACGTTGAATTTCCAACTCCGACCGAACCCGATTCAAAATTAATACACCATCCGTTTGGGGGAAAATTTAAATATCTTACCTTCCTGGATGCGGTAAGCACTAAAGCACAATTTGCCTAAATAACGCGTCCATTATCATTGTATTATCTTAATCAAAGCCTAAGCACTTAACGATAACCGGTTTTGGGCACGTCACGCTTCACTGATTTAGTGCCTGCAATTTATGCCACTTCAATTATCAGCCCTCCAACAACCCAAACAACCCCCTTTCGATATAAAGCACATACGCGTTCTTTTTAACCGCTTCCCTCTCTCTCGCTCTCCTCTCTCTCGTACTTACAGATAATACAGGCAGTGTATTACATTGTCTCCCTTGCGAATGACTTTGTGGGCACCAACGAGCTGGTGCCAAGGCGGCCGCCAGCAATACGCAAGTTCAAGGACTGGCTGATGTCCACGCTGGCGTTCCCGGTGGCCCTGAATGTGGGCATCACATTTTGGACGTTATATGCCATCGATCGTGAGCTGGTCTTTCCCAAAGTGCTGGATCCCGTCTTCCCTGGGTGAGTGCGAGAAATTCGCGTCTTAATATTGCCCACTTATTTTGCTATACTTGCATTGCAGCTGGCTCAACCATGTCCTGCACACCAATATTGTTGTGTTCATTGTCCTGGAGATATTCACATCATATCGTGCCTATCCCACGCGCACCAAGGGCCTCACCGGCCTGGCCATTTTCATGGGCAGCTATCTGGTCTGGATACACATCATCAAGCACTATTCAAATGTCTGGGTGTATCCGGTACTGGAGGTACTCCAGCTGCCGCAGCGTATTGTGTTCTTTGTGGCCGTGCTCGGTTTCACATTCGCTCTCTATCTGCTCGGCGAGTTCCTCAACAATGTCGTGTGGGCCAAGGAAGTGAAGCTGTCGCAGCGCAAGGCAAAGTAGGCTGTGTGTGTGTGTGTGTCTTTAAATCCCGTAGTGAATAGTGTGTACGTCTGCTCGTCTGCTCGTCTTTTTCAATGGTAATTCTGACAATGGCAGCAACAAAATTACTAAAAATGAATTTCGCTTATATTTTACACGATTATAAAACGTAATTATAAAGTTGAACTAATGCTACACCTAATAGAAATTGGCTTGAATAGCGATTAAAAATTTGTAGTACTTCAATAGAGTGCACTTGCAATTGCAGTTTGTTTATTAATTGTATTAGATGAGCCCAATTAACGTTCGAGCATTTTTTCAATTGCATAATTCATATCAAGCAAAAGCACAGCGACAACTTTAAAGCCTGCGTTTAACTGTAAATTGAAATCTAGAGTTATTAAAATAAAGTAAACTAAATAATAGGCAATTGTTTTCTTTTGTTTTTTTATTTGATTTTTGTTTTTAAACTTGGCGCCAACTCTCAGCTTTTGAAACTACGGTAAATCAATTAGCCAATTCTAACTGTGCTGCAGCTGCACTCGGATGCTGTGCGGGTGGTCCGCCACGCCCAATGGCAGCACGCAAAGCTTCCAAAATGCAGCCCTGTTTCTCAGCAAACAGCTGTTCGATCTGCTAACTGTTCTTTTTTATTCACCTCATTTTTTGCACACTTGTCATTACATGTGATTGGGAAATCTGCTGTCGTTCAGAATTTGTTGCCTCGGCAGTTCTAGACTTGGCCTAGAAAGTAATTTTGACCTCTTTGCCCTGCACCGGACATTCATAGCTGCCCGCCCGGCCAAGTGTTACTTTTCTTGTGAAATGTTCTATTGTGTGCTTCTTCGTGTAACTCCATACCTGTTCCTAGCCGAAAAGTAGAGAACGCCCGTCGAGCCGGTCTACCTGCTACCTGCCGCACAAGTTTGAACTCACGCAAGTCCAGAGGTCAGTTTAAAAATACGCAACGACCTTTGAGTCGGAACGTCTCGTTATCTTTTTTTTTAAGTTACATATATGGTTTCTTTGTTCCAACATTAGCTAGGACTTGCGACTTTTCATCTGAAACGGCAGTTTATAATTTGTACATATACATATTACACTTAATAGGGCCTTTTCTTGCTTGTATGCTATTTTTATAGCATTGTAGGGGGGTGGGGTCTTATAAATATAAATATCATATAAACATCATATGGCACACCTTCTATCTGGCTTTCTGTATATGGTTCTGTTTTCAGTTTTTAAGTATTCTCGGCACAGCTGCTGCCGTTTACACAAAAGGCAAAGCCATAATTATCAATGAGAAGAAGAACCTAGGCTGAATTGATTAATAGATAGTATAGTCTCTTGGGGTACCGAACAGTAAATGCCCTTACCCTTATCATGATACTTTAGAAAATGCAAATATCTATTGTTTATATAAACTTTTCTTTAGTTTAATATTTTATACGTAGTTAGTCTGCACCTAAAACGTACTTAAAAGCAGCTTATTTATTTTGAATTATGAATTAACCTGCAGATAAACCTAATGTTAAAGTAAATTGTATTATATATTGGCTTGCAAAGGGCAAGTTAGCCTTCAAAGACTCAAATTCGAACCCGATTGTGCGTTGCTCAGTGTAATAAAAATCCATTTGTATTTGTTTACTTTACTTTTAGACACAAGAAACTAGACGCTTAGATACTTATTAGGAAATTCCTCCTCGAGTGTCCAAAGTAAACAGAATGAAAACTGTGTCTGTATATCTTTGAAGAATTTTACAATAAATGCTTTAGATTGGATTTAAAATCGATTTATTAGTTACAAAATGTTTAATTGTAAGCATTTAAGGCACTTTGTAACACAATTCGTTTCGTTTTCGTTGTGCATTGTGGCCCAAAAGGGCGACTTTGTGTACATTTAAAACAACATACATAGGATATGTCTACATCTATATAAAACTATAGAGCTACGATCTAGTTAAAGTCATCATACAAAGAGACATATATATATATTCACACAAAAGGGACATAAATTCTAGTGTAAATATGATTTTGTAAACTTTTCAAAACTTAATTCCTATGAGTATTCGTAGTCGTAGTTCGTATTCGTAATCTATGCGTTTTTAGGGCTTCAAAATGGAAGATTGGAGTTTTAGAAACTTAAGTAAATGCATCATTCCAGTTGTTCAGTTCTACTTGGAGGGCAGCAGCAACATTTTCAGTTTGTCCGATTCACTCATGAGCGTTGGCTCCTTGTGATGTCGCGAATGACCGAGCAGGGATTGCATCTCGGTGGCATCCTCGGATGTCAGTTCGTTGCGCTGTCGACTCGCCGCATTGAGCAGTCGCATGGCCTGCTGCAGCTCCTCGTTGCCATAGGTGGGCAGCGTATGGGTGGCTATATCGTAGGGATTCGCTTGTATGCCCACGTCGCAGCTGGTTTTGCTGTTTCGCGAATTGGGCTTGCCCGTGGACAGGCCCGAATTGTATGAACTGTGCAGCATCCCGCCCAAGGGTATGTCCAGTTCGACGGAGGAACAGCTCAGCGAGTCGCCATTCACGTCCAGTGCTGCAGCCAGTTGGCGCGCATAATGGCGCTTAAAATCGCTATTTGAGTCCACATCCAAATCCAGTTCCAGCTCCCGATCAGCGTTTTTGTGACCATGATGCGACTTGGTTGGCTCCTTGCGCGACTTGCGACTGCGCTGGGAGTTGCGCGAGTGTCGATTGCCATTGCAATTCGATTCGCTGGACTTCTGCATGTGCTTCAGGAAATGCTCCAAAGCTGCTGCCTTGGAGCCGTTGCCGTTGCCATTGCTCGGCAGTTCTTGTATTTTGGGTCCATCATCCTCATCGCTCATCTCCTGCTTGACGACCACATTGAGATCGTGAATTTTGAAAGAGGCACGCGAATTTTCCTCCTCATCCGAGGAGGTGGTCATGCCCTGGTTCTGCAGAAACGGCAATATAAACTGTCCATTCTTTTGTATGAAATCGTTGATAATGCTCGGATCTAGACCCGCATTGCGTCGCCTGGTGCTGTTGTGCTTTTTGGTACTCTGGGCAAACATGCCCACTTTGTGACTAGCATTCGGATACGTGGTCTTCTTCAGCGCTATCACCTGCGACTCGACGGAGGTGCTGCTCTCACGACGTCCTCGCCCAGCAGCGCTGCTGTATTTGGTGCGTCCGCTGCTGGCCGCAATGAAGTCTCTGCGCCGCTGTGTTCGCTTATTGCTGCTGGCTGAGTAGCCGTGTTTGCCGTGTTGTCGCGTACGCGAGGCCACCTTGGTTTTCATTTCGGCTATCTTAACGGACACCTGCGAGTCTACCGAGTTGCGTCGCGATTCGACAGATACGTGTCGCACGCTGACGCTTATCTCCGAGTCGAGGGAATTCTTGCGTCCGCCCTGACCTCCTTGGCTGGAAGAGTTTGTGTTGCCGGCTGTAACGCCGGTCAATGCCATGCGACGTTTCACGCACTGCGGCAAATAATGCACCCAGGTGGAGCTAATCTCGTTCGTTTCCGATGAGTTCAGGTCGTTCACATCAAAATTTAAGCCCACCGGATCGGTGTGCGTATTGTATAGCGTTATGGACAGTCTACCCTTATCCTCAAAGTCTTTGCGCTTGGCCCAGGTCTGTGCAATGACTTTATGCTTGGGCATTTTGACCTCTTCGACAACCTCCTTGCCGCACTTTCTGCAAAATGAATACACAGAAAACTTAATTCCATTGCAAGACCAGCTGTTTGACAGCACTTACTTTTTAATGTAGCGCTTCCAGGTCTCTACAGAGGATGGCGTCCAGCACCAGGTGGACATCAGTATTCCAGAGTTGAACAGGCAGAGCAAGTGCAGCTGCAACACGCCCACGCTGGGACGATTCTCAATCTTGCAGGCGCTGTTTTCGTCAAAAACCGAGCTGATGCGACAGCTGAACAAATGGGGGATAGTTAGTAGATAGTCAGAGCATAATATATATATATACTCACATGATATAGTGCCTAAAGCTCTCGGCCCACTCAGCCGAATGGCGAAACTCTGTGACATGACAAGCAATTGCAACTAGTATAAAAATCAGCGTAAGCAGAGCACAGAAGCCCATGCGCATGATAATCAAATGGATTTTGTTGCTCGCCGACGTGGACTTGATATCGTTGGCAAAGTGTTTCAGGCCAAACAGCATGATCATGCCGCGTGTGATGAAATAGCCGCCAATCAATATGACGCCGCAGAGCGGACCCAGCAGTAGACCGGCGCGCATCGGGTGATTGATGTAGCCAACAAAACAGATGCCCACAATGCCATTGCCATCGACTTCACTGAGTGCCATTGTGGTAATGGTGAGAACCAGCGGCAGGGACCAAGCAACCAGATGAAAGTACGATCCCTTCTTGTCGATGCGATCCTGTACATGGCCCATGGCACGCCAGTGCCAGGCATAGGTAAGAAACACGAACCACACCATGCCGGCGGTAAGAAAATAATAGACAAGCACAAATATCACAATGCACGAGAGATTCTCGCCAGCCGTCGGCTCCGAGTGACGCAGTGTGCCATCCTTGCGACAGACAATGTCCTCGCGCGAGCCGGACGTAAACTGCACCAGCCAGCTGCAAAGCAAAGAAAGTTAGCTAATGAAATTTAAAATTATCTTCGAGCTGCTCACCCAAAACAGGAGATGAGAAAACATAGATTGATGTAAAAAACTATCACAGCTGGATATTTGTTGGCATTCTGCCAGTCGATGAGAAATGTGGCGACCACAAACAGATTGGACAGCAGACAGAGTGTGCCGCCATAGCCGATCAGCTTGTGTATCTGGCGATGTTCATCGTTCGTGTACAATGGATCCTTGCACTGCACACCGCAGCCCTCAATGCCCGGATAGTAGCTGGCGGCATTATCTGCGGGCACAAGGGGCGGCATACATCGGCCAGTTACATTGAATTTCATTTCGCGTGCATCGTTGCTGCATTTCATGGGAAAGAGCGTCTCGTTGCAGCGCATAAATTTCGGGAAAAATGTTGTATTATATAGAATGCGGCACGGCTCAAGGGTAATCTTGCACATTTCGTACGAAGGCAGGTAGACCATGTCCTGGCCATTAATTTCCTCGCATTTGGGCTTAAAAACGGCGCACAGAAATGGCTGGAAATTACAAGCATTATTATTAGGGATTTAGTGTTCATCGAGGTGTGTATCATCTGGCTTACCTGTATGACAGCCCAGCACTTGGGCACATGTCGCAGGGCATAGTAACTGCTGAGCGCCTCGTCGAGCTCTTTTTCTCTGCGATAATCGGTTAGGCTGAGACTTGTGAGGGCATAGGGTAGCTTGGAGCCAAAGCATGTATTGTGCGTGCTATTGACCTCCAGGCAATGCCCACGACGCACACACTGTATATGCCGGCTGTCGAGGCCATCAAACCAGGGCTTATCGTCCTTGCCCTTTTTGCCATACAGCCGATAATTCATGGTGCCATTGATGGGCTCCAAATCGACTTGTGCGGAGCTGACGGGCGTTGGGCTCGTGCTTAATTTACTGTTATTACTAGCATAGCTGCCAGACATCCAGCTGGCCAGCAGGAGGCAACAGAGAGTGAGTGTGCTCCTAAGCAAAAACAGGCCAAGATTTGAATTCAATTTTATGCACATATATATTTATACTGGTAATCGGCTGTGACGCCTTTTGCATACTTACATCTTAATTTTGTAGTGAATGCGTAGATTCATGCGATTGCCACAAGCGATATTTTCTTGCTAATAATATATATTAAGCGTAGCCTTTTGTGAATATTAATTTCCAAATGTTGAGGCGCACAGACGGCGGGCGACACAGTCGCGCCTTGTTTGGCTACAACAGAATCTCGCAATCAACGCATTTTGCAGCCGTTTTTGTGTGTGCACAGCCAATGCTGATTGAATGACGCGTTGTCTTTAACAATCTTTAGCAAGTATTTAATTCACGAAAAATGCAAGAAACTCAAGTGAAAATAAAAACCTAAATGCGCCGCGAACAGACGAAAGCAACAAATGAGCGTTTGATTGCAATAGCAGACCACCCACAAAGCCGTCGGCTATCGAACTATCGAGCTATCGAAAATGTTTGTAATCGATTGCAGAGCAGTGAGTCGCGGTAAAAATATCGATGTTTGGCGTTTTTTACATCCCTGGCCGCAGTTTGGCTTGTGCAAATTTATACACGGGCATTGTAAAAAAAGAAGAAGGCTTGAGTTCAAATTAAACCTTGTGCATTTGGTTAAACACAACGGGCAATAATTCTAGCCATGGATGCCGCTCCAGCTGTAGCGCCGCACGCTGCAAACGAGTCAAAGCCACAGCCACAACCCCCGGCCCCGGCGGCCGCTGCGCCAAACGAAAATGGTGTACAAACAGCAGCAAAAAAATCTGAAACAGCGACAGGCTCCGGTACGTATATGGGTGTGTGTACACACACACACACACACACGCACACATGCGATGTTGTTGTTTGGTTTAGCTTCAATTTGTTTATTTTGGTTTTTTTTTTTTGTGTATGGTAGAAATGCATTCCAATGTTGAGACTGGCAAAGTGCTAGAGGCGCAGAAAACGAAATTGAAATCCGAAATGAACACGGAAAAGGTATTGATTACAATATGCAGCGCCGATCGCAAGAATAAAAAGACATTCATGTCCTTGCCCAGCAGAAAGGACGTCATTGAAAAAGGTGCGTATTGGCTATGTGTAATTAAACAATTTTTAAATTAATTTAAATCCGTATGCCTCTCATGCCTTTTAGCACATAAATATGGCTTGGCTGGCAGTACCATAGTGCTGGAGAGCAATGGCTGTGAGATATGCGAGGATGAAGTGCTCCTGTTTGCGGCCAAGGAGAAGATTTTGCTGATGCTGCTCGCCGAAAACGATGAATATGTAATACTACCTCCGCCCTCGCCGCTGAATCGTTCTGAGCGAGCGGGCAGCTCACTGGATCCCAGTTTCGTATCGAATGCCAACGATTCGACAGTATCCAATGACGAGACTTTGTCATTGGCTAGCGTTACGCCCAGCAATTCAAAGTTATCTACAGCTCCGTTTAAGGAGTTCTCGATACCTTGGTCGAAGGTACCTAACGATATTATGAAGCTGTTACGCGGCAAAACAAGCCTGGGTAAACGTCTAAATACGTTGGCCAATCTCCTCGTCGATGCGTTGCGCGAACGCTCCTCACACATACCTTCAATGGTGTTTCGCGAAGTCGCCCAGCAGGCGGCAGAAAAGTATCCCGATTCGTTGCTTGAAAAGGATCGCGAAGGCCAACAGATTGCTACCACGCCACAGTCGCTAATCTCAAAAATGATCAATCGCAACAATGCGCTAAATCGTCCACAGAAACGTGCCAGCTCCGGCACATCAGACTTACACATTACCAGCGGCAGCAAGAAGCGCAAATCGAGCTTTGGCGCGGCAGGCGCTGTGGCAGCCAACGGCAATGCGAAGTCATTGGCGCTAAATCGCGATTTGGAGGAGAAAAAGGAGCTGCTAATTTCCAGTTATCGAGGCAGTACCAAAGTTGAGCCAGCCCTCATTGCCGAGTACATGAAGGAATGTTTTCCGCTGCAGCGCGCATTCTTCAACAATAGCGAAAAGATACCAGACATTACGGCCATCAAGGACAACTGGCCGTACATATTCAATAAGGATCTGCTCTATCAGCACTTCGAGCTGCTCATGTCTATTGATCCGCGTGTGTTGGAAAAACGCTTTGCCAGCGAACGGGAGCGCATGTTCAAATTCTTCAAGACGTCCAAAAACAAGAAAGTTAACGCTCTGGAAGAGAACAATGCGAACATAGTGCGGGGCCTGGCATACCATTTCAACGAGGATCCCGACTACATTTTCAAGCAGCTCCAAAATGGACCCTTGCCAAAGGATGTGCTACAGCGCATAAATCCAACAAATGCGCCTTGGGTGGCTCTAGTCAGTGAGTATCCCAGCGATGTTATTTAGCCATTTTGTTAATTATTTTATTATTATATTTTTTCAGATACGCCCACAGCTGCTGGCACAGAGGCCGCCCAGACCGAGGCAATGGTGTACATTGAGGGAAAGATAATGAGCACGTTTGCTGCTGCGGATGCTGATTTGCCGGATATCATTGCCCAATTGCTCTGCTACTATTATACCTTTAACATGATGTACCCCAAGGAAGCCAATCAAACACTCGAATTTATTGTCATTTATTTTCTAGAACATACGCCGGAACAGGCGCGCAACTCCAAAAAGAGCATTACTGGCAACAGTAAATACAATCAGCTAATTGCGAAATTGGCCAATGCAAACGGTTGAGTCGAGTTGATTGCATTTGGAGCATGCGTCTCATACTGTTTAGTTTACATATTTATTTTGCAGACCCATTCACATATACTCCTTCTAATTCTAAGATGATTTTTATATAAAGTGTGTAGTACTTATGTTGTGTATACATTTCTGATTTGTCCCACAAAAAAAACAAAAAAAAAAAAAACGATGTTAATTGTTTTGGGTGTTCCGGAACTTATTGTTCTTATTAACGGGCTGTTTGGGATCTTTCGGTATCCAATTGCTCTGCGGACGTGCGTGGTTTCTCTTTATGTCCCTTATGACAGAATCCATAGATCCCATATTTTTTGTCATAACTACCCTTGTCAGTTTTCTACGTATGAAGTTGCGTTCCTTAAAGGTCATATTATCAGGATCTATATGTATGCCTTTCTTGGGCTGTTTATTGTGGCCCCCTTTGCCATTCTTTGCCTTTGATGTGGATGTAGCTGCGTCATCCTCAAATGTTTCCCAGGTGGTCTTTTGAGAGCGGCCGGCTTCGATCACATTTCGTCGATGGTTTTGTTCGCGTTGTTTCAGTATGTCCTTGGCTTGCTCACTTTTCATGTCAAAGCGATCGGAGCTGCGTTGTTCCTGCTCATCACCCAAAATATCATTCTTCACATGCTTCCAAGGCTGGGCCGTTTCTTGGACGGGTGGTGGTTCTCTGTTGGCAAATGCATTCGGGGAAAACTTCTTTTTACCCCAATTCCTGGAACGATCATCTATAACTTTTTTGTGCCCCTTAAATTTTGACTCAAGTTTTTTAAAATCTGCTTGGAACATTTTGGTAAAAATTGAATCGACTAGCGATGTAAACAACTGTTAAGCGTGAATATTTTAACGATATTATCTTTATCGATATTTTTTAACTTAATTTACGATATTTTTTATGTTACAGTATATTTGTCGAATATGGTTCAGAAATTTAAATTTGAATGGTTTTACATCGAATTTTAGACAGAGTTTAATATAACAATATATTTATATTTAAAATCGTAAGTTTTAACTGATGATTTTTGAGTTTTTATTTACTATCGATACGTGGCAATAGTATCAATAATTGCTTTTAACCTGCACAGCATCGATACTTATTTAACACGTGTAAGCGGCCTATGTTGTCTTCGGCGGGAACTTCTTTTTACACTAATTTCTAGAGCGTTAATCTTTTTAAAGTATATTTACGATATTTAGTATGATACGGTTTATTTTGGCAATATTATTGACAGATTCAAATTTGTATTTTTTGGCATCTATCATTAAACAGAATTTAATGAATGACCACATTTAAATTTAAAATCTTTAATTTTTATTAATGGTTTTTGTTTATTCATATACTATCGATATTTGGCTAAAGCATCGATAATTGCTATTTACCTGCAAAGCATCGATACTTATTTAACACGTGCAAGCGTCCTGTGTTGTCTTTTGAGCAACGGTCTGAGATGCGAAACGACAAAGGAAGACGTTCCGGCGGCAATCAGCACAACTCCGGTCGAAACGATTACCATTACGTGAATAATAGTGGTGACCAGTGGAACGGGCAAAATCAAAATAATAGCTTTGACCATGACGGTCGTGGACGAGGACATAACAATGATTCGTTCACAAAGTTCCGAGATCAAAACCAACCACAAGAGGTTCGTAACCAGCGTCAGGGTCGCGGCGGCGTTCGTAGAAACCAGACTCCCAAAAACAACGTTGACACCCGTCGTTATGCAGACTTTGTAAGAGATGTTAGATGTGATTCAAGAGGCAGAGGTGGTAGAAGTGGACGTGGTGGAGGAGGAAGAAACGAAAGGAATTCTGGCCGTGGTAGACGACATAATGAAGAGCCAGTGGGTCACTGGTACCAGGACAACACACCAAATGACATATATCATTTCACCAATGGCCAAATGGGCAATGAAAACAACGGAACGCTTCAAATGGAACCACCAATACCACCGCTTACTCCAGAAGTGCCCACTGAGGCAACTCCAACATTTGCTGCAGCTGCTGAGACGGAAAAGCCAGTTACGCTCATCAATGCGGCGAACATTAAGAAGGAAAAGAAAGACTCTTTGCCCAAGCACCCCATAACGAAGCCTGAGGAAAGCAGCGATGACAGCTCTTCCAGTAGCTCCGATGACAATGTTGAAGCCGGTGAGCTGGTTAAATCGACGCCAGCTAAGAAACCTGAGGCGGCCGTGACGCAGAAGACTAAGGTTATAGTCGAGCCTGTCGCCAAACCCGCTGATTCATCTTCTTCCTCTGACGAGGAATCTAGCGATGAAAGCGCAGCGCCAGTTAAGGCCAAGACGTCAGTCAAAGAGTCCACAGCGAAGTCTAAAAGCGCCAAGACTGTGGTATCCGAAGATGAAGTAGTCTGCATGGGCACCAAAAGCCGCAAGTACACAATACCCGATGAGGATGACAATGATGAGGACGAAGCCGAGGACAGCAGCAAGGATAACGACAATATCGAACAGACGACTGGCAAAGACAAGGACAAAACGACCCATGTCTGCGGCATATGCGACAAAAAAGTAAGTGCCTGACATTTGGCATTTGATCTTGGCACGAATCCTAATTTTTGTTTTTCCCCAGGGTCACACCTCATTCGAGTGCCAGATGATATGCAGGAACTGTTCGGCATCCTATCACAGCCTCAAGAATTGCCCGAATCCACCCAATTTAAATATTGCTCTTCAGGCTTTCATGGAGTTTA